AGTAGCGCAAATATAGCTTTTATGCTTTCTTTTGTACTACAAATCGGATGCAAAAGAAATGACACCTTTATAGTTTCTTAAAATCATCAATAAATTTTGACTTTTGAACACTATAAATTAGTTGCATCAGAATGTACCTCAAAATGTTGATTTGTACCTAGGTTGGAAACATGTCTGAATGAACTTCTAGGTGCATGCTTTCTAATAGGATTGCAACAACTTGGCATCGACAGCGAACATAACCATTCTCCTCTGCGTTCTTTCTTTGTTATAAACCTAGTTTGAAAGGATTTCTATGTGAAGTAATTCAAAACATACTTTAACATGAATTTCAGTTCAGATACTTACTTGAAATGATGAATTTCAAGATCTTTTTAATGGTTAAATCACATTGTTTTTCAAAACTTCAAATCTACAATTTTNGGCGGGTTCATTAGTAAATGGGCCTCTTCATTGTCTTCAATATTGGGATTCGTTTCGTTAGCCAATCCGAAGATCTGTAACTGCAGCTTCTTCTCGCCTCACCACTTCACCAAGAAGGAAACATGAATCTTATTCTTACCAAATAACAATGTTTCCACCCAATGTCTGAATGGAAGCATCAAGATGAAGCTCCTACTAAAGACATTTCATTTCCATTCTAGCCAAATGGGTTTCCCCTATCTGAAGAGAAGTTATTTGGAGAAGCAGGTGCAGGATGTAATTTGGGTTCGTTGATACAAAAGCAAAATTGCAATGTCTTTAACAAAATTGCAATCTTGCTTCTCCAATCTTAGGTGATTTGGGTACCATTAATCTCCAAATTAGGTGATGATTTAGCAGGTGCAGGATGTAATCCAGTTAGGTGGTGATTTGCGTTCGTTGATACAAAAGCAGGCACCTCAAGAATGCAACCAGATTTTTTGCCGATTTTTGTTCTGCCCCAGATTTACTTTGATTCCTTGGATTTGAATGGGTGGCTTCCGGCGATTATTCTTCGATAGGTCCGCTTGAACACGAGCGTCCCACACCTAGCTTCTTTAGCCTCAGATCAAAACCAGCCAAACATAATAACGAGATTACCCCAACAATAGTAAGGGATCCCATCATCTGCTTCACTTGCTCTTGCACAGCAACGGCCTCCTCTTTTATTGATTCTCTGGTGAATATACATAAAATTTAGCCTATAGAGGAAGCACTGTGACGAACAACTCAAACATATCAACCAATTGGAATCTTACATCGGAATCCTATAGAGGAAGCACAAGAAATTATGCCTATAAATAAATGGGCCAACAATAGCTTAATATGCTTCCTGGGCCTGCCAATTGGTGGGTTGGAAGTTAGTTTATATAATTAAAAGAAAATTTTAAAAATATGTAATTAAAAAAATAAAAAAATGCGCGCATTATCGCGCCTTTGCGTGCATTTTAGTGGTCAACGCAGGCGTTGACCGCATTTGTACACGCATAGCCCGAATGCAAGGCGTTTTGGCCACGCTTTGCGCCTAGGCGGCGTATTTTGCCGCCTTTTAGAACGTTGATGTTATCACACATAATGGGTATATGATCAAAAGATAAGTGATAATCACTTAGAGTTTATTTCATCCATAGAAGTTGTGCGCAACAACTAGCGACCGAGATATATTCAGCTTTGGCAGTTGACAATGCAACGGAATTTTGTTTCTCACTTAACCATGATATAAGTACAAGGCCTATAAATGACACATTTCGATAGTGCTTTTATGATTGATTTTGCACCCGGCCTAATCGGAATCCGAATAGCTAAGTAGATAAATGTAAGTGCCCTTAGGATACCATAGCCCTAAAGTTATTTGTCACTAAGATATCTAAAGATTCGTTTCACGGCCTTAAGATGAGATTCTTTAGGATTCGATTGAAATCTAGTACATAGACATACACTAAACATAATATCGAGTCTACTTACAATTAAGTAAAGAAGGAATCCAATCATGCCTCGATATTTTGTTATATCTTGATCGTCCTTGTCCAACTTTATGGATGTGCTCGTAGGGGTGTTTATTGACTTCAAATCATCCATGTTGAACCACTTGAGCATGTCTAATATGTACTTACTTTGATTGATGAAAATTCCATCACAAGTTTGCTTAATTTGGAGATCGATGAATAATTTAAGTTTTCCCATCATGCTTATTTCAAATTTCATGTTTATGCACTAACAAAACTCTTCACAAAGATAAATATTA